TCTCCCGTCCGTCCGGCTCCCAGCCCCGTGGCAGCCCCTCCCTCTCCAGCCCTGACCTCTCCGTAACCGGTGGGATCCGGCTGCTTCACCGGATCACCGGGCACCCTCCCTCCTCCCCCTCCGCCTCCACTAAGAACCCTTCCCTTGCAACGTTGGACCTGGAATTGGTATCAACACAGAAAGGGCTCAGCCTTGGCCGGTGGGCTCAGTGGTTAGAGCGCAGGCCTGCGGACTGAAGGGTCCCGGTTCGATTCCGATCAGGGCACATGCCAGGGTTGCGGGCTGGGTCCCCAGTTGGGGGGTATGCAGGAGGCAGCCAATCGGTGAGTCTCATTATTGATGTTTCTGTCTCTCCCTCTCCCTTCCTCTCTGAACTCAAAAAACATATATTTAAAAAATGATAAAAAATAAATAAATAAAAAGCCCGGCTTGAGCCCTAGCTGGTGTTGCTCAGTGGATAGAGTGTTGGCCTGCCGCGTGAAGGGTCCGGGTTCGATTCCAGTCAAGGGCACATGGCCGGGTTGTGCGCTCGATCCCCAGTAGGGGGCGTGCAGGAGGCAGCCAATACATATTTCTCTCTCATTGATGTTTCTACCTCTCCCTCTCCATCTCTCTGAAATCAATAAAAACATACTAGGTGTACCGGTTAACAATGCGGATTTTTTTCAATAGATGGAGTTACACATATGTTGATATATATGCGATTTGATATGTATGCTATTTTGTTGTATTGACAACAAGCTTCAAAACTTCATATGACAAATTTTCTGAAGGTGTTATCATAGATATTTTGGAAAACATATACTTAGCTTAGTAAAATGTATGATGATACATGTAAAGGGTTTTTCGGTTGGCTGGGATGCTTGTTACCCTCAGACTTTTCCAAGTCTAGTATTAGACATTTTCTGTTCCTAAGCAATGTTGGCTTAGTATTGTTACTTTTGTTCCTGTTATACTAGATGTAAATGTTATACTAGATGCAGAAAAACAAAACTTGACAAACAGCAAAAAGACTCGGATCATGGTGGCTCAAAAATTAGAAATGATCCAGACTACTTTTTAACAAGGACGTATAGGATCTGACTGCCTCCCATTTACCTGCCCTTTTTTGAATAATAATAATTCGACCTTAAATGCCATCTAAGGTTATGGTCTTGCCCCTCCCCAGTGGTCCACCTGTTCAGCAAGACATGCTGACACTGAGACATCCTAGGAATGAGCCTTCCTAGCAACGTGGGACTCCATTATCCAACCAAAAGGTTGGTCATCAATGCATCCTTTGGATTGATTTATGACCAAAAGGGAGATGTGTGGACGAAAGGGGCCACATGCTGACCTGACAAGCTCAGGGGAGGCCTGCATGGTGGTCTTGCAAACTCAGAGACCTAAAGTCACCACAAAGGATGGTCTGAATTTAAACTTTAACTAAAGCAGTGATGGTGGGTAGTCACATCCCAGGCCAGTATCTTCACTGACAAGGTCAACCTTTACCTTAACTGAGCCTGTCTGTCTTTTTGCATCTGTGATAACACACCTTTGAAATGTCTGGGTAACTTGTGACTTCCCTTTTTCTGGAGCCCCTGGGGCACAACCAAATGTTCTGGGCGCCAGGACAGATACTACAAATTCCTTCATTATCATGTTAATTGATCCTGCACCCACCTAAGTATGTGTCCATCATTTTACTTTTTATCCTATCACAGAGGTTTCCCTCCCTCCTTTGATTGCAGATGTATAAGTACAAATGTAACCCCGCCATTCTCCGGAGCATTATCTCAATTCGTTGAGGTTCTGCTTCCTGGCATATGTCCACAGTTTGGCTCAAATAAACTCACAAAAATTCAAAAAAAAATGTCGAATTTCGTGCCAAAAAAAGAGCATTTGTGAGAAGTTTTAATTGATTACTTTATTTTGAAGAATAGAGCTGCTGAAAGTTATCGTATACTTCGGGAAGCTTATGGTGAACCTGCTCCATCTCAAGATACTCGTGAACGCTGATTTAAATGCTTTAAAAGTGATGATTTCGATGTGAAAGACAAAGAACGTCCAGGTCAATCGAAAAAGTTTGAAGACCAACAATGACAAGCATTATTGGATGAAGATGCGTGTCAAATTCAAAAACAGCTTGCAGAAAGATTAAATGTTGCTCAGCAAACAATTCTCGATCTTTAACAAGCAACGGGAATGATTTTAAAGGAAGGAAAATGGGTGCACATCAATGCTAAGAACATCAGCAGGCGATGCCCGAGGCCCTGCCCTGGCCTTGGCTGCTGCGTGGCCAGAGCCCACTGCTGGGGCAGGACCGTGCGGAGGAAGGCGAGGGTGTGGAAGGACATTCCTGATTCGCTTTCGTTTGGGGAAAAAGGGCCTCTTTTTTTGGTTGTTGTTAATCCTCACCCCGAGGATACTTTTCCACTGATTTATTTTTTTTACGGACTGGAAAGGAGGGAGGGAAGAGAGGGGGAGTGGATAAAGAGAGCAACCTGGGTTGGTTGCCTCTGAGGCCAGGATGGACCCTTCAACCCTTCAATCAAGGTACGTGCCCTCGACTGGGAACCCAACCTGTGACCCTTCCGTGTGCTGGTCTCTAACCACTGAGCTCACCAGCCAGGACAAGTACCTCTTTTAAAATCCATATGTGACGCTTGGAAAAAACCTGTCAGGTCATGGGTCCCCTTCACACCTGCCCCTGGGGATGGGGGTGGGTGGCCAGCCTCCGCCCTGTCCTGCTCCTCTGTGTGTCCACCCCAAAGTCCCTTGCTGCCCACACCATCCCTGCTCAGCAGCTGGCCGCCCAGCCTCTCCCCACACGCCGTGGGCCACCCTCTCAGCCCCCTCAGAGCCAGCCCTGCCCTCCAAACGCCTCATCATCATCTGGGTCTGAATAGTGGGTGGGGTCAGGACTCCACAGCCTGGCACAGAGACCCTCCACGGGCTCCCCTGTGCCCAGCACATCCTGGGGGGGCTTCCAGAACGAGCCACCCACTTCCCCAAGGGAGGGGCCACTGTCCAGCTGGCTTTCCCATCCTCCTCCCCAGAATGGCCAGGCCCTGGCTCAGGGAGGGACCCTCCTGTCCTGCGGACGTGCCTCCACCGCCCCTCATGGGGGCAGCCAAGACCAGGGGCCTGGAAGGCAGCTCTGCCCCAGGAACCCAAGAAAGTATCCGCAGGGCATTGGGGCGCCGGTTTGGGTCATGAGGCCTGTGATGGCGCCGCCGCCGAGCAGCTTAACCTCAGGCCCGGTGCAGAGACCGGTGCGGCCAGTAGGTGGCGCTGTGCTGCCTGCAATCGCGGGGACAGGAGGGCCCTCTCTGACCCGCAGACCTCACCTGTCCTTCCAGCCCCTACACCTGCACGCAGCGCAGCGCTCCGCAGCGCGAGGGCAACCAGCCAGCGCTTAGAAACCGGAGGACGAGGCCCTTCGCTTACCTGCGATTCGGATGACTGCCCGCTCAGCTGGGTCCAGGACGCTGCCATTGCCCGCCGAGCCGCCTCCGCTGCGCCGGCTCCGCTGCGTCTTGCCCAGGTTCCAAGGCAGGGTGTCCCCGGGGCTGGGGGAGCCGCTGCCTCCGTTGGAGGAACCATCCTCGGCCGCTGTCCGCACCTCAAGGTCCTCCCCCGACATGGCCTTCGGGAGAGGGAGCAGGAGGGGGTCACACTGGGGGGACTGCACACTGACCCAGCACCTTCTTAACCTAGACACTGGCCCCACCCCATCCCCCCTATCCCCTGGACACGGAACCCCCCCCCCCGTGTCCCACCTCATCACACACTGACCCCCACCTTCTCCACCCACCCCAGCTGGCCCCACCCCCTC